GCCGCCGGCAGCTGGGTGGGGCCCTCGCAGCGCCGAGCTCGCCCCCTACCCAACGGCGTCCTGCCCCCGGACCCACAGCCCGGCGGAGACTGTGCCTAGAGCACCCGCGTGCGGTTCCCGGCCCTCCGCCTCCCCGCGCGCGAGGGGTCCCGAGCCCTTCGCTGTGCAGATACGATGAAGCCGAGTCCGAAGGGGCAGCCTGAGCAAGGCTGGCAGCCGGCATCGGGGGCGCCTGCGTCTCGGGCAGGGCCCGGGCTGGGCTTCCCTCCAGACCCGGCGACGCGGCTGGTTCTGGTCCCCACTGGCATCAGGTCTGTATCTATGTTGGCAAAACGAATTTGGGGCCGGAGGGAGGGGGAGAGGTTTCCTCCGGAACCGTCAGCCTTTCTCCAGGTGCGATCGCCCGAGCAGCCGCCAGCCGGGGTCCCACACCCTCTCCAGTTGACAGAAGGGACAACGGCTCCCACCTGCCCGAGACGTGGCCATTCCCTGGGGACGCACCCCCAGCGCCCCGGACGGAGTTCGTTCCGCCTCTGTTTTCTTTCTTTAAGTCTTCAGTTCTGATGGCCCCTAGCCCGGCCAGGAAGACGGCGGTGGCGTCGGCGGTGGCGCTGGACTTGGGCACCCGCCTCGGCCGCAGGTGTGCAGGGGAGGCCGCTTGGACCCGGCCCCGGACGCGCCATCCTGCTCCTGGCTTGTGCCGGGATTCAATACTTCTGTCCCTCCTTCAAGACAGGAAGTCTCGGGGATATAAAAATTACCCCATCACCACGCTCACAGGTCACTGTCTCCTGGGGACCGCCAAGTCCCTTTTTCTTTGGAGAAGCCAGTCTCGGTGACTCTTTCCTTTAGGAGAATTTCGAAGTCAAGTGTAAGCATTCGTTTGGAGCCATTTCAAACGCCTAGGAGCTCGGGGTCAAATCGCATTTTGGTGACGCGTAGACGCGTTCCTCTCTCTCCTTCAAGTGTCTCTTCTTGGAACAATTTACAAATTTGTTCCTTCGAAATTATTTTTGTTTTCTAGGTTTTGTTGTTGATTTTTTAAACGTGTAACTTGCTACGGAAATGTGAACTTTA